CATAATGAGGAAAGAAAGCGTGCCGACTTCAAACAAAGCGAAGAGAGAGCCCATCTCATATACATCAGACAAACAAATAGCTGCTGCTGAGTGGATCCCAACCCAGAGCCACCCCATGTGTGTCAGGGAGAAGTGGACTCCATGGGGTTGTCTATAGCTGATTTTCCTAAAGTAGACTGCCAAGCCGTTTCTGTGTAGAAACACACGCCCCTCTTTCAGTTAGCCTCTGAGCACCCCCACGCACTGGTCAGCAAACTAGGTTTGCCTATTTCTAACGAAGCCAAGAGAAAATCTAGGGCTATCCTCATACCTGGTTTAGATTGCCAAAGTCGTTATAAAAATCTCCTTGACTGAAAAAAGCGACTCTCTGTCAGGATCTATCAAACTCCTCGAGAATATAAAGCCCTATAATGTACTGGACTCAGATGCGGCAGTCAGCGCTGTTAGATCACCAGCTGTGTCTTATTGAAAACTGAACTTTATAGATGACATAGATTTTGGCATAAGAGCTAAATTAAAGATGTTGTCCTTATGGATTTCCTCTATGCAGCTAGTCGGTGTTCTGGGAGCTTAAGATATGGTTACATCTTTCCCCAGCAAATTTCAAATGTGTTCAGGGGCACATTGACTGATTCTACAAAGTCAAGCACCCCTAGGTCTCCCACGAATGTTTCCTAAGTGCCCTCAGTGAATGTCTCAGAGAAAAGAGCAAGTTCATCTTTGCAACCACAGGGCGAGTTTTGGGTCCTGCAGCGCCAAACCACAGCTTTGCCCCTGACATTAGCAGGGTCAAGACAAAAGTAAGAGGGGGGTCCACCTTTTCTTCTCACTTCTGGCCTACACAATAGGGCCCTCTTGCACAGGGATGGGGACACCCAAGCCCACAGATCCAAAGTCTATGCAAATGATTCTCCTGACAAAAGTCTCACCTTGACTTCGAGGTGTATACGTGTTGGCACTGCTGCTGCCCCCGGGAGGGTGGAACTGGGGATGTGTCTGGAAAAGGCTCTGAGCTGCCTGAGTAGGAGTCCTGGGGTCTGAGACTGGAGAGAATTACCTGGTGAGGGAAGGAGGTTGGCCCTGGGTTGGTACTTTTCCTGCCCCGTCGGACCCTTGCCCCACAGAGAGGGTGCAGCTGGAAGAGGGTCATCTCTAAAGCGATGGCTGTCCACTTGAGTTTGCATTAGAATCATTTGCTCAGGTTCAAGCTCACTGCCATCAAATCGATGCCAACTCACAGAGGCCCTATAGATCAGGGTAGAACTCTCCTATGCGTTTCAGAGACTATAACTGCTTACAGGAGCAGAAAGCACCATGTAGCTGTGGCTGATGATTTCGAATTGTAGGCTTTGCAGTTAGGAGCCCAACATGTAACCACTAAGCTACCAATGCTCCTCAGAACCACTGGCAGGGCTTGTTAAAGCACAGATTGCTGGGGTCTACCCCTAGAGCTTCTGGTTCCATCAATATGTACTAGAGCCCAAGAATTTGTCTTTCTAACAAATTCCTAGATACTGACTGACTGACTGATGCAGTGTCTTTGGACAAAACTTTGGGAACCAATGCTGAAAAACATGAGGTCTAGGGTCTAGAGGAAATGGCTAGATGGGATGGAACCTGGTCTTGAGAGGAGCTGGCATTTGTTTTCATGCATTTATCAAAAATTCAAGAGCTGTGTGATTTCTGCTTCAATGATTACTCTATGAGAAAAGATAAGACTTTAGAAGTGGGTAGGCATTTAAGTTATTTCCCCTAATATCTTTGCATTATAAGCTGATAATATGTAAAAGTTGCTTCATTTTAAAGGCCCAACCTCTACAAGCATGACCCTAAAAACACAACATCTATGAAAAGCACGGTGTTTAACTATTTCAGACAGGGAATTGGTGTTCAGTATCAATATCAGGAGCCCTCATGGTACAAACGTTAATTGCTCAGCTGCTACCCAGCAGGCTGGAGGTTCACATCCACCCATCATTAGCTCCAAGGGAGAAAGAACTGTGTCACATGAAGTGGCTCCAACGGACCCCACCCAGAGCGGTCAAGTCGATAGAGTTGCTGAGAGTGTAAATTTGTATGGGAGGGGATAGATAGCCTCATCTTTTCCCCAAATGAGAAGGTCAAAGGCGCTGTCGGAATGCTAAGCAGGGTCTGAAGGACAACAACCAGGCTTCCAGATGAACTTGAAAGGGAACCCTGACATGCACCAAGGTGGGTTGGGCCAGAAATGATAGATTCTTAGACAACTCCCACCCCACCTAGACTCCAAGACCAGGGAATCTCTCGTGGTTGGTCTAGCATTTTTCCAAAAAAAAAAGTCAGTTCTGCTAGGAGTTGTGGACATTTTTAATTCAAACTTTCTAGTCTTTTAGATGGGAAGGAAGCCCTCCGGATTTGTACTGGAATACCCAAAATATTTCCAGAGAGTTACTTCCCTGGTTGACCCATAGATTAAAAATGGAGACTTTTATATCTTTTCTACATGCAAACGTTCGTTCAAGATGTAAGTTCACAGGAGTGAGCTGTGCAAAATCATATCCCCTACAAGTCCGCCCTCCTCCACACGCCCCCGTATTCATTTGTACTGAGCCAGGCCGGTCCTCTGGCCTGGCCTTGAGGCTTGTGGCTCAGGCTTCCCTTTTCTTCCCTGGTTTACAGAACGAATGCGTACTCATCCATGACCAAATGCTTTGCCCTCCCAGAGCTGGTCTCTGGCTGCTTGGTCCAGGATACTTACATTCCATACTTTCCACGTTGTGCTTTCATTGCTTGTTCATGTTCTCGCGCGTCCTCACCTCTACATGATTTGTTCTTGGAAATTCAGATTTGTGCTTTATGCTTTTCTGTGTCCCTAGCACCTAGCACAGTGACAAAGATAGGGTCTGAAATTTAAATCTTTAATGAATGAAATAAATGAATCACAATGTCTGGGTAAGGGGAACATTACTTAAACAGTAGGAATGTAGACTGGATGCATCAATCTTGTAGAATACACGTGATTCAATCTAGGAGGCCCCTAAATGACCATCTATCTATACCAGCTTCTCATCCAACAGAGAAAGAAGTCCAGAGAGACTTCAAGATGCCCAGTAATTGATTCAGTATCAGAGTGAATTGGACCCGGAGGCAGGTCTGTTGGTTGTAATCCAGTCCATCTGTCAGGTTTGGCCACAGCTGCACATAAAGAGCACTAGGTCGGACACTGTTTTCCATGAGGGTTGGGGCCACAGTGCCCACATCCGGCATCAGGGACACAGTGTCTTTCCTCTCCTGTGCTAAATCTAAGCTCAGCAGACTAAGATAGCAATGCCCTTTACCTCATGATCTAACTCTTTGAGATGGCACTTGCGTGCGTTCTGAATTGATGGCTGGAAGTTTGTAGCTGGTACGTACTTCCTTAGGCAAAAGGATCGTCTGAGTAAGATGGGGAAGGAAGAGGGGTGGAGATGTACCAGGCCATAATGTTGCTATTGCGAAGAGCGTGGAAATGACTACATGAACCCTTCCTCTCACCTCTCTCTGCCAGCTCTTTGTGGATGAGGGTTGGGAACCGTGTTGGTGTCACGGATGCTTGCTTCCACTGGCACAGCGGGATGAGGGGGAGGACCCGCCTCCTAGAGTGTTGGGATCCACTCTAGAAGAAAATATGAGGGAGCTAGGAGTGGTGGGAGTTATAAAGAGAATGCAAAAAGGGGGTTAAAGATGCCTGCCTGGCTAGAACTGCTTGGGAAGACTGGGCACACACCCCACTCTTCCAGCAATGTGTGAAAGACATCATCATATACTTTGGTTTTTTAAGTGATGTCATTCTAATCTTACATCATCCATGATCCTTCCTATTGCTTTGAGGAAGACTTAGCACCTCACTATGGTCCTGGAGAGCTGGCTCCTCCTTACCCCCAGCTGTTCAGTGATGTCATTGTTCATTGATTTTCCCATCAGGACCTTTGTCCTTCTGATCCTTCTGTCTGGACCACTCTCTCCTAGCTCTTTGTCATTCTCCAGGTTGTGACCTGAAGGCAACTTCCCCAAAAAACTTCCCTGAGCAGCCTGACAACCAAGCACACAGGTTCTTTCCTGGGCCCGCTAGTAGCCCTTTGCTGCCCCGTGCTGCTTACTTCCTTCTGCCACGTAAGAAATCCAAAGACCCTGTGTGTACACAGACGCTAGGCTGCATGAGAATGGAGACCTGGTCTGTCGTATTCACTGCTGCATCCCTAAACCTAGAACAGTGCTTGGCACATAGCAGGTGCTCAGGAAATATTTGTTGAGTGACTGAATAAAGTACCTATATAATTCTGGTTCATGTGAATAAAGGAAAAATTGACACTTCCAGTGCGCCTAGAAATCGTCACCTCAAATGGAATGAAAGTGTCTTTTCTACTGTTTCCACTTCCTAGAATTAAACCTTCAGCATGGTTCTCTGAGAGCCATGCCCCAGTTCTGCAAGAGCGCCAACAAATGGTCAGATGGTCTCCATTGCCATCAGTGATGGGCACCTTTTATCAAAGCAACAATGTGTTCTGAATGGACAGGACTTCCCCCACTCCTATGTAGAATTTATTGTAGTTTGGCAGGTCTAGAGTTGGGCCTACACAGCCAACGAGTCATTAGAACAGTTTCCACTTTGATGCTGGATTTATCAATCTACTGGAGCAGGACTCAGGTGTGGGTCTGGAGGCACCTCTACTGGATGTCAGGTTAGACGAGGATTGTGTCTAGGCATACACCAAGAAGCTTTGGCACAAAAGTGACAGGAGGGACCCTCTGCTCCCACCCCCACACCGATTCCATCCATGCAAGGTCAGACCCCTGGTAATTTCAGTGGTTGACAGCCAGCTCCCTTTTTTTTAAGCCAATGCAGATAAAATCCCAGACCTCAGGGAACACGGGCTTGTCCTATTGGCACACCCTCTTCTCCTGCTTAGAGCCTGGCATCCATCTGCAGGAGTATGGTGGTGTGCCCATCTAATGGTAACTCTGTCTCCCACAGAGTCCTGGCCGGTGGTCGTGCAGTCCCAGGGGCTGGATGGCATGCTGGACCCAAGCTCAGCTCAGCGTCTGGGCCCAATAAAGACTTTACCAAGGGAGCAGCTTTCCATCCTGGCCACACAGAGGTAAGTGCCTGAGGGGCACATGCCTCACAAGGGCTCATCCCTCTGGAGCTTCCAGGAGCATGGCCCCCCAATGTGACAGCTGGGAAGAAGTCCTGGCTGAGAGAGAAGGTGGGAGCCAACTGCTGGTCCCCGACCCTGGGGCGGTTCATAACCACCCAGACAATGCCTGTTCTAGGAGCAGTTTGGAATGTGAATGGCCTTGAGCTCTCAGAGGATCCCACACCTTCCCAGGCACATTTTAAGAATCTAAGCTGCCCCATCTCTAAAGAAAGAATATGCAGGCCCTCAAAGAGAGGCATCTCTCAAACCCTCCACATAACTCCCTGAGTGGTCTCAACAGTTGACCTGGTGTGACAGAGGCTTCCTAATCATGCTCAACCCCAATAGCCCACAGAGTGGAGGGATGGGGAAAATTCTGATGCAGGAACTGGCAAGCCTGGCTTTGAGTTTCAGTTCTTCCAGGTGTCTGACTGTGATCTACTTCACCTCACTGAGTCTGCTTCCTCATCTGAAAATGGGACTAATGCATGCCCCCTCCCACTGTGTGACATAGATGATTCATGAGATACTCATGCCCAGCAAATGATAAGTCTTATACTTATAATCTGACCTCATTCATATGAAGAGGTACTTCTAAGAAGTACAACCTAGTAGGTTCTGTTCCTTCCATGCAGCCAGCACACCTGTCCTAGAAGAGACCAATAAATCCACAGGGGCCTTTACCTGCTGCTGCTTCTTGGTGCATATATCTGTCATGGGCATGTTAAATGCTTTGGGACCGAGTCTATATGATTCTCAGGAGCTCTGGTGGTATAGTGGTTAAGTGCTTGTCTACTAACCAAATGGTTGGTGGTTCGAACACATCAGTTGTTCTGAGGGAGAGAGATGAGGCAATCTGCTTCCATAAAGCTTTACAGCCTAAAAGGCTATGGAGCAATTGTACGCTGGGCTATAGGGCCACTCCAGGTCAGAATGTGGTTCTCTGACAATGGATTTGGTTTGGGTTTTTTTATATGCCACTCACAGACCTGAAAAACCAGTTATAAAAGCAATTAAGTGTCCAAATATCCCCAGGTATCTGCATCTGTGGCATCAGGAATGTAAAACGTACAACTTGTTGAACTGAGTAGTCAGTTAGATGTCAGGCCTCAGTAAATACACCCTACCACTCGCTGTGGACTTGATTGTGACGTACAGGACCCCCTACGTGTCAGAGTAGAACTGTGCTCCATTGGATTCCCCAGTGGACCAAGTTTTCATTTCAGGAGTAGAGGGCCAGACTTCTCTCCCAAGGTGCAGCTGGACAGATGAACTGCCTTCAGTTAGCAGCTGAGCCTTTACACCACCCAGGGATGCCAAGCATGACCCCAGGACCTATCAATCACAGTGGACGTGAGCCCTCAGGCCAAACAACAGGCCAGCCACCCTCGTATAGCTGCCTAACTCTAGTTCCTCTCACTCCACGCAGGCGGTAAGAAATAAACATGCCTGAGTCTTTAAAGGAAAGACAGTGGCCAGTTTATATAATTTACATAGTTTCATAGGTTCTCTGAGACCCATTTCTGTCCTCTGTAAAGTTAAAAGATTGGGCTGGATGAGTGGTTCTCAAGGTGTGGTCCCAGAACAGCAGCCTCAACAACATAAGGGAACTTGTTAGAAATGCAGATTTTCAGGCCACGCCCCTGACTTACCGAATTAGAGATTGTGGGGGCAGGCTCCAGCTTTCTGTGGTGTTGCAAGCCCTCTGGGGGACTGTGATGTTCCTGAGTTTGGAACCACTGGACTTGAAATCTCTGACTGCCTTTCCCGTCTACTTCCTTCCTGTTCTTGAACTCATAACTCACGGTCCTCCAGTTGATGCCAACTCACCATGACCTATAGGACAGGGTAGAGCTGCCCCCTTTGGATGCTGATGACCAGGAAACAAGATGCCGAAGCAGGAGGGTCACAGGCTGCTGGGTGCAGAGGTAAAGGAATTCGAGGTCAGTCAAATATAGCCAAGGTTGGCAGTCTGCTGCTGGCTCCTGAGATGAGCAAGTGACACAACAGGAGCTTGATGAACCAGATGCAGGATCCAGCTCTAGCAAAAGGTGAAGGACAAAAAGGCGCTCAGCTCTGCTCAGATTCACTCTCTTATACAAAGGGCCACATCCCCAAGGCGGTATCATCAGGCCAAGACCTGATTGATCAGTTAGGCTCCACCCCTACCTTCACCCAGGAATGTCTAGGTGACTTAAGCTCTACCGATCACATTCCCACTCCATCCTCACTGAGCTGCTACAAGGGGTGCTGGGTTGTAGCCTGTCCATACATTCCTTTGTGGCAGCGCAAGACGCCTCTGGGACAGTGCCTTGGGCAGTGGAGGGCACTCAGTTCCTCTCACACTCTACACAGGCAGCAAAAACTAAGCGAGGCCGAGTCTTTAAAGTGAAGACAGTGGCCAGTTTACATTTAGAGCAGAGGCCAAGTGTGAAACAAGAAGTAACCCTTGGCCCACTCTCAGAATGTAGAGTGAGATGGATGAGGAGGAGGAAGCTGGATTTCTTCAGCCACAAAAATTCCGTCTCTTGCCAACAGTTAGTGACCCTAGCTAGCTATTCTAATCACTGGCCTGAGAATTACTGAGAGATCTTGGCACCTCTCTCTCTAAGGCCGACATGATCTTACTCCCTCTGCCACCCACCTCCATAGGCACTGCTGCCAAGCCAAAGACAACAGATCTCCAAGCCACGAGCAAATATTTGGGACTTTTGCTTAGCTCTGGGTGATGCAAATGGTTAAAGTGTTAACTTATCACCAAAAAGTTGGCAGTTCGAATGAACTCAGAGAGGTGTCTCGGCAGACAAGTCTGGAGATCTGCTTCTGAAAAGTCACAATTCTGAAACCCATCAAACCCAAACCCGTTGCTTCTGAGTCTATTCCAACTCCCAGGGACCAGGAGAAATGAGTAGAAGTAACTACTCCTTAGGGTTTCTGAGACTGTAAATCCCTACAAGAACACACAGACTCATCTTTCTCTCTCACAGGGACTGATGGAGTTAAACCACCAACCTTGCAGTCAGCAAACGAATACTTAACCCGCTGTGCCACCTGGGAGCAGTTATAATCTGCACGCATGGGGTTTCCATAAACTGGATTAGATTCCATAATGGTTTGGTTTACGTGTGTGTGTGTTGGATGGTGCTGAGTCTAACCAGCAGCTTCATGACCTATTCAGGCGAGATCAGAACCTGTGGGAAGATCGTTCACCTGGCATAGAAGATTCCCCTTGTTGTGGAGTATATGAACACAAAACCTACCACAGGCCCAGAAGAGAGTACAGTGAGACCACTCCATCGGTACCTGGAGTTAGAGGCAGGCCCCCTGGCCCTCTACACATAGGAGCCTGTATCATCCCTTCCAGGTCGGAGCAGGACGAAGACAGACACCCATCCATTAAACGGAGTGCGCATTCCCTTTTTCTGTGAACGCCTGATTGCATCTTCCCCAGCCCATCGTTCAGGTTGCAACGGACTGACCAGTGAGACCACGGAGAGTACTGTCACCTGTTCAGGAGAAAGCCTTCAGAAGTTGTCCTAAGAAATACATACAAGTCCTATCATGGACCGCTTCCGCCGCCACGAGAACGTTCAAACATTCCACGCCTGTATTTGGCGCATTCTATCCTTGGAGTAGAAACCCCACTCGTTTTTTCCTCCTTCCATTTTCATCTACTGGTGGGTTTTTATTTGTTTGTTTTTTAAGGGAGACATTTCAATAATCCTTTAAGAGCTCAGAAACATACTCCTCACATGAGTAAATCAGGCGTTGTTTTAAGGCACGCCTGTAAGCATACACACAATCCAAATGGGCGATTACCTGCGGCACTTTCAGATCTTCCTGGAAGCATGAGGGTGCAATGTGCATCTCCATTGTGACTAAATGTAACGAGGCCCCGTGTGTTCATTCCCAGGAGTTAAAAAGTGGCCTTAGGTTTTTAAGAGCTTGTGAGAGCAGACAGGTTTCACCAGCAGTGCCAAGCAGAGTTCAAAATGGTGTAATTGCTAAACATAAAGAAGGCCAAAGTTGGAAGCTACCATTGAAGCTCATTGTTGGGGTGGAAAAGTGAAAGAACAGAGAAGGGAAGAGACGTATCTACCTCATCTTCATGACCCTTGAGGTGTAACTAGTATTGAAGTAGAGGCCGTGAGGGAGCCTTCGGGGCAATACCTTCAAAGAGGAAGGTTAAAGAAGAACTGTTAAGAAAGCATAAAAGAAATGCTCTAAGATGTAGAGGAAGGAGAGAGTTTAACACGTTGGAATCATGAGCTGCTCTTTAGGAAGAAGATAGCACTGTCTGCTCTCATGAAGACTTACGCTCTTAGAAACCCAAAGGAGCAGCTCGACGCTGCCCTGTCCTGATGGTCTGAGTAGGAACTCACGCAATAGCAGTGGGTGGGGTTTGGGTGTATAGCTCCCCAGTGGCAGTGACATATAATTTGGGTAGGAGCAGAGCTGGGGAGCAGAGAGACACAGGGAGGTCCCCAGAGAGCACGCTGGTAAAGGAGATCTTAACTAAGGGCAGCTTTGGAGCAGGGGTGTACCAGCAGGAGTGCTGTTTGCCTGGAATGCAAAATATGTGAAGGGTGTAGAGAGAGTGAGTATTCTTTTCTGACTCACTGGGGAGTAGGCTCCCTAAGGGATCCTTTGAGGACCCGTGCTATGATATGACTCAAGCTATAGGAAGTTTATTGAAGTGGCCAGTGACAGCAGGCATTAGAAGAGACCTTGGGGGATTAGGACATCTGTTAGCTGACTATTTCCATACAATCCTAGACTAGAGGTAGAGAGCTGAGAATGGAGACCAATGTCAAGAGATGTTATCAGAGCAGTACCACAAAGGCTGACTGGGTGATGGGCGGGGAGGAAAATGCAGCCCTGTCATGTTCTGAAGTTTGGAGCTGATGGAGGAAAGAATAATGGATCCATTAAGAGAAAAAGAAAGATGCAGAGAAGAGGTTTAGCAAGATAGAGAATGATGATCCACAAAAGAGCTGCCAAACAACATTGTAAATCATGAAGTGGTCCAGCATGGAGGCTGCTGCTGTTGAATCAGGTGGCTGATCATACTGAAGATGATTAGCATCACGAAGATTGGGTATGAGTATTTTTGTTCTGGATAGCTTGCATTTAAAATGCCAATATCCATCCAGGGTTTCCTGCCAGGAAGCCGGAGGTTCATAACTAGCTGATGAAAGAGCAGGTCAATTTGACATCTTGTCTAACAGAACCAGGTGTGCATAGGGAGGGGCGTCAGTGGCCCAAGAATTCCAGTCGACTCCTTAGAAGTTCGGTAATGGAGACCTTATGTCCATCTACACTTTAGATTTTTGTCCATTTTCCTATACTGCTCTCTTTCTAAATTCTAACATTTGTTACTCATGTGGGTGTAAAAAGATGAATTCACCCATCATGTGCTCGCTCTCTGATAGAAAGACCATAATACTGAGAAGAAACTAAAGAAAGAGCAGAAGGCTGGAACTAGTTGTCAACTGAATAGTCGGCTGGAGTGGACTGGACATTATTGGCTAGACCCTCAGCCAAAAGAGCGAATGGCGGCCAAAGGCGTAGGTGTGCTGTCGCCCCCTCTGCATGGCTGTCGGAGGGGATGCAGAAGAACTGGAGCAGACAAAACACTTTTCCAAGTTACTGAAGAGGAAAGAATTTGACAGCGTCCTTCTTGGTATCCTACCAAAGAGCTGTCTTTTTCTAGCGGAAAGAAAGCATATGACTGAGAAGAACGCATCCCTTCAAGATAGATCAGGAAAGCTGCCTGGGGCCAGATGTATCGGCAGACGGGAAAGCACGTGCCATGGTGGACAGGGATCAGATGGTGTCATCTCCAGCCGCCTCACATTCATTCTTTCTTTCATTCTGTGTATAGACTTTGAGGACCTGCAGCGATGCCCAGCACTGCTCACGGGTCCAGGATATTAAATACCAATGACGTAGCTTTTAAAGGGGCTTCAGTGGGACAGATATGTAAATGATTGAGCACAACACCAAGAAAGGGGATAGGTTCTGCACAAACTATGGTGGAAGCCCAGGAGGTACAAGCTGAGGGCTGTGTTTGAGTCGGTACATGGGGCGGGCGAGACAAAACTCAGCCCTCAAGGATCTTACAGCCAGAAGGGAGACAGACTCTGTTCATTACCATGCATTTTTTAAAAGTCTGATAGAGATCAAACAGTTTATTCTGAGAAGGCATGTGTGAGGTATGCTCCGAGAATGACTAAGCAGCCATATAACTGGAAAAGGCCAAGTCCTTGGCCATGAGGAGATTAAAATGACTCAGCTTAATGCCGATTTCTTGAGCACTCAGTTAATCCAAACAACAGCCTTGCGAAGTGATGTTCATTGTCCTCCTTGAAGCAACGAGGACACGAAGTGAATGGGTAGCTTCTCTCTGTTAACAAGTAGCTGGGCTAGGAATCCCACGAAGGTTCTCTGACTGCAGATCCATGCAGAGTGGGGGTGGGGAGTTGCTCCACTGATTCAGCAAGGCAGAAATGAACGCATGGCTATGTTCAGCCTTGAATGAGCTCACTTTCGATGGAGGTGAGCTGAGAAGCCCTCCAGGAAGAGACGCTATCTGAAGCAGGCTAGAGAGAGAGTAGGGAGTAGAAGGACGTCTGGGAGTGGGAAGAGGTAAAATTGGGACTTTGGAGAGCACTCTTTATACAGGAAGCCTCTAAGCCTACCCAGAAGATCTGGGGAAATTGAATTTGATATCCTTCCACAGGTGTGGCTAGACGCTCACCCCAAGGGGGCAGGTGAGGGATCCTGCAGGGAAAAGAGTAATTCCACTTTTCCTTGTCCAGTGAGTGGTCTCTGGTGGGTGTCTGCATGCAGCGTGGAGCCCTGCGCAGCAGATGCTCAAGAGAGGTTTGCACTGCCTCTAAGTGGCAGCTTGATCCAAACAATAGATAGTAAAGACAATAAAAAGAAAAGTCATGCTGATTAAGAATAAAAGACAGGGGAGGAGGGGCTGGAAGGAGAGAGTGAGGGAAGAAAGATGGCTGCAAGGGTAGACTGATCAGCTTTGGATTTTCTTTCTGATCCAGGTTTTTTGGTGCCTTTAAGCCCATTGGTTAATTGTCCGCGGCCCCCATCCCCTTATATGTGAAAGGCTGACGATAAAGGCTAGCCTAACTCACCGAACAACGCGAACTTCGGAGGAACACATTAGAGACGTGTAAAAACATGACTCAGACCGAAGCATTAGCAGTACACGTTTATGTGTGAGGGGCATGATGGACGCTCGGAGATAGTTTTGTTGTTGTTTGCCCAACCTGATGCGTCTGGGCTTCACCCCAAGGGCGGGGCCTAAGGCTTCTTTCAAAAATGGCCCTACTCAGTTACGAAGTGCCAGGGATGTGTCCTGGGGAGGGACCACCCGCAGCATGGTCCCCATGGGAAACACTCCTTCTGGGACGGCTGTTCAAACCATCGAGAGACTTGCCTCCCAGAGCACCCACGTGCACGCGTCACCCTGCCCACTGCTGCCACAAGCCGGCAGAGCACACCAGGGATGGCGCGTGGTGCTTCAGCCTCCTAGCGGCCTGCTGAGCAGCACCGCAGGGCTTCTGCCTCTGCTTGGGAAAGACTATGCCATAGGCGGGGTGCCCACACCCCCAGGGCGTCGGAGTCAACCAGGAGTGATCCTTGAAAGCAGCTTGAATTGCTTGACGCCAGCAAGCATGTGGCGGCTCTGAAGAAGGGTGATTGTTGCCAGCGTGACCTTTCAGCTTGGGGTGCCTCCTAGGGTCACCTTGCCCGGACACTACCCGACTACCGTCTGCAGGTTGTCTCAGGAGATGGGCTCTGAGGGGCTCCAGCCCAGCACCCCGTGTGCTAACCCTGGTTTCTGTTTCCTTCCAGGTGCGTAGCGTAATGTCCATGTTGTTCTACGCTCTGATCACAGCGTTGTTGATCGGCATACAGGCGGAACCACACGCAGAGAGCAATGTCCCAGCAGGACACGCCATCTCCCAAGCCCACTGGTCTAAGCTTCAGCATTCCCTCGACACAGCCCTCCGCAGAGCCGGCAGCGCCCCGGCTGGGGTGATCACTGCGAGGGTGGCAGGGCAGAGCCTCAACATCACCGTGGACCCCAAACTCTTTAAAAAGCGGCGGCTGCACTCCCCCCGCGTGCTGTTCAGCACCCAGCCCCCGTCCGACACCCTCGAGGCGCAGGGCCTGGACTCGGACTCGGAGGCCCGCGGTGCGGCCGCTCTCAACCGGACTCACCGGAGCAAGCGGTCCGACTCCACCCACCCCATCTTCCACAGGGGCGAGTACTCCGTGTGCGACAGCGTCAGCATGTGGGTTGGGAATAAGACCACCGCCACGGACATCAAGGGCAACGAGGTGATGGTGCTGAAAGAAGTGAGCATCAACAACGTTGTGTACAAACAGTACTTTTTTGAGACCAAGTGCCAGAACCCCGATCCTTCGAGCACTGGGTGCCGGGGCATTGACTCGAAGCACTGGAACTCGTACTGTGCCCCCAATTACTCCTTCACCAGGGCGCTGACCCTCGATGCCAGTCAGACAGCCTGGCGGTTCATCCGGATCAACACAGCCTGCGTGTGCGTGATCAGCAGGAAGACTGGGAGAAGAGCCTGACACCCCCCTACTCACCCCTACACCCTTCCTAGGACCCCCACCCACCCACCCACCCCACGTCCACTCTCCTGGGCCCCTCCCTACCTCAGCCTGTAAATTATTTTAAATTATAATGACTGCATGGTAATTTATAGTTTATACAGTTTTTAAAAAATCATTATTTATTAAATTTTCGGAAGCATCCTGCGTGTTGGCACTCCATCATTGTTTCCCCCACGAGACCGTGGCAGGTCTTGGGAATAGGCAAGGTGAGTCGTCCATAGCAGGATGGCTGATTTGGCTTCCTCAAAGGTTCACCTGGAAGCAAAGCGTTCCCCACTGCAGTGCTACTTCAGGGGAGGCCAACTGGCCTCAGGTACTAGCCTCAGCCAGGCAAGCTGAGGAAGGGAAGCATCTCAGAGTGCAGCTCGTTTTTTTTTTTTCATTCCTGAGCCAAAGCTACCTGGATCCACTGGGTCCGGTTGCTTTATTCCAGGGCCCTGGGCAGACGGTAGATCACAGCAGACTCAAGGCTCAGGGAAGCCCTGGCTCCATCCTAGAGGGGACTGGCTGTATCGATGGGGGAGGCTTGCCCCCAAAGACCTTGAAGCTGGCTTGTTTTGACACAGAGATCTGCTTTCTTTTTGATGGGAAGAGTTGTAACTAAGTAATCGCATGAGACCTGTCACGGTAGATCTGATTTCATGTTGAGATTGCCTTCGGATTACTGCTTAGTTAGTCCTCCATGTATCCTCCAGGGGCTTCTTGCGGCAAGTCTCATGGCCCGGGGAAAACAGAGTGCTTGCCACCCACCAACAGCTCCTGCCACTTGCCATGGCCCCAACGTTGGCCCATAGCCAGGAAAACCAGAGGCAGGTTGGAGAAGAACTTTCAAGGATTTTTTTTTTTAATATTTCTAATTGGCTGGTTTCCACAAGTGACAAAAGGTGGCTAGAGACAAAGGTCCAGGGACTGGGGGAAAAGATAAGGGTGGCCAACTCATAGATCAATAGAGAAGGGGGGTGAACTTGAAGGAGAGAAAGGGGGGTGCATGCCAAAAGGGAAAATGGCCTTCTGTGCTTTTAGGCCTGGGGTTTCCTCCCTGCCTGAAGGAAAGCAGGGAGGAGGATCAAGGAAAATCAGCAGGCAGGTAGAAGGACGGGGACACAGGAGCAGAAAGAAGAGGCGGGGTGTCGTCTCACTTTTGCCAGCATCCTCTTGCCTCTCAGAAATCCAATAAAAATACAAATGAAACCAAAGGCGCTGCTGCCAAGTGCATTCAGTTCCCGGAGGCGGCACGCCCGTCGCGGAGTGGAACTGGGCTGCAGGGTTCCAGTGGCCGTGGCTTTTCAGAAACAGATCACACGGCCTTCTTTAAACCACCTTTGCTCGGGTTCAAACCTCCACACTTTCAGTTAGTTGTCAAGCACTTAACCATAAGCACCGCCCAGGAAAGCCTCACATGCTCCCTAGTCCTCATTCTCTCTCTCTCTCTCTCTCTCTCAAATGTGCTCATCAACACTCTCCAAGTTCGAACAAGGTGACAGGGAGATCTCTGGACACCACCAGGAGCAGGACCCTACCCAGACACACCCTGCCCATCTTCCCCTCACCTTTTCATTTTGTATGTTCCCTGAAGTCGCATTTCTCTTCCCCTGACTGGACGGTTTTCCTTCTTGACCTCCAAGTCCCACCCACCCCCACCAACTCGCCCAGGTCTTCCCAGGGTGAAATGCCTAATGTGTGTTTTTTATATGAGAACAGGCCCAAATTGTCCCGCTGATAAAAAGCAAATGGTCTTATCCATTCCCTCTGTAACCCTCACTGCCTTTCTCTACCCCCAACCCAAATAGGGCAAATTAGGACTGTCGAGAGCTTTGGCACAAGAGGCATTTGATTAGAGTAAAAGCATGACGAAATGTGCCCTTTTTTTTTTTCCTAGCAGAGCTACTGCAATTGGAAGAAAGATTTATGTTCAAGAAATACCAACCAGAACATTCTGTGCTCAGATGCCATGGTCAGATAAAGGCAGTGGGAAGGAAGCCCTCTCACTGACCTGGGGCTGTGGATTTTTACTGTGCCTGTAGCCACAGCCTTCCTAGGCCCCTCCTATCCACACTTCCCGGGGGCTCCTCCCCATGGCTGTGGCAGGCTTGCTGGACCATGGATGTGGTGAGAGGAATGGTGAGGCAGAGCTGTCAGGAGGCTCCCAGATGGGCAGGCTTTGTCAATGAGCAGTCAGTTATACCAGCTGGGACACACACACACACACACACACACACACACCCCAAACCAGTCACTCTCAAGTCAATTCCCACTCAGGACAGCTCCACGTGTTACAGAAGGGGACAGGGTTTTCTACTTTTTTCGTGGCTGTGACCTTTTGAGGTACCTCTGGGTGGGTTTGAACTACCACCCTGTTGGGTAGGAGCCCAGTGCTTAGCCATCTGCACTACCCTTGGTTTGCAAGACACAAGGGATGTGCAAAGAAGGTCTTTGCTACCTCTGATGGCCTAGACGGGATACATGACCTTCGAAATGCCCTAGGAAGGAGGGACCCCGCAGGCCCCGCCTTTCAAGTGGGCTGCTTGCCTGCCCTGTCTAGTAACAGAAGGTGTCCCTCATCCCCTTCACACCATCCACCGCCCAACCTCTCCGAAGGCAAACTACGCACCAAGCCGGAAGTCTGGAGTCCCAGCGTGGGAGCCAATATTTTCACACAATGTGTGGGGAGATCAGTTTGGCTGAGTGCAGTTGGAGCGGTCCAAAAACAACCTCAAGCCCGGTGATTTCCGCAGCCTGAGCTCTGCTCCCACACACAGGGGGGAGCTCAGACGTCCAGACCCACCCCAGCCGCCCCAGGAGAGGTTGGCCTGGGTTGGAAGGTCCCAGCCATTTGAACTCATTGGAAAACCAGCTTCAAATGGCCCATTGTCTTCTGCTGAGGAGTGTCCGCACCCCAACCCCAGCCCCCTAACACTTGCATTTCTTGAATCACTGAGGTTTTCTACCCGGGTTCCCCCAAAGTCCAAAGGGGTTAAAGGAGATGCCACACCCCTTAACAACTTCCTTTCCTGGGAGGCGTCCCTTCGGCACGCCAAAGTAAACTCACCCCGACCCGGACACAGCCCGGCCCCCCTGGTGAAGGCCTTGCTCACCCCCGCTTGACGCAAACCTCCTGGTTCTTGAGGATGACAGCAATGTGGTGGCTGACTCTCTTGAGTCTGTCCTTGTGACCTTTCCTTCCTGCCCCCAGCAGAACCCCCGCCTCCCTGAGACCCGCTCTCCCCACTACCAGAAAACCTACAGCGGGATACAGCCCATCAATGACATCGGAACGCTCCTCGCTTCGAGCCAGTGCAACACGAGAATGTTCCTTCTCAAAGCAGCACGCTTTCTCCTGAGCAGAATCCGGGTTCCGTGAGGAGGGTCTACCTCAGACCCAGAAGCGGAGGATAGAGGGGCAGAGTCCATGCCAACTGGGCCAAGTGTCCTCCACGCCTTGGAGAAAGTGGACCTCGGTGGAGCAATGGGCTTTCAAGAACACAGGGGCCTGGAGCCAGCATGGAGTTCAGCGTCTCTCTTCCACAGGCCTGAAAGGAAAAGTGGGCTTCGCTGAGCCACTAGAAGTCAAGGTTGTTGCCCCATCCTCGTGCCTGAGGAGCAGTCTGGTGCATGGTACCCACGCTGGACCTGGTGTCAGTGAGCTGGGTTCTAGGCCCGGCCCCATCGGCCCTCTCTGTGAACGCTTGGCAAGCCATAGCTGCTCTGTGAGCTCAGTCCCTGCAGCTGTGAAACGAAAATAATCAGCTTGCTTCCAGAGTTGGGCGCTCGAGGTGAAATCATGTATTTGAAAGTAAACAGTCAAGCCTCGTGCAAGCCTCAGGCAAAGCCGTTATTCCAGAGTTTACAATTCCTGTGTGGATTGTAGGAAGTAACAGCTCTAGGGTTGCTCAGCAAATATTTGTTTTTTGGCGGATGCTAGAGGGGAAGGGGAACCTGTCCGTCGATGGACTATCTCGGACGAGGGGGATGGCATCGCCGGGCCCAGGAGGGTGAGAGAAGGAACCGCAGGGCTTCAGCTCAGACCCTGCTGGAAATGGCATGTAGGGAGGCCGCCTGTAGTCTTGAGGCTCCAGTGTCGTCGTTCAGAGCCTGGGCTTGGGAGTAAGACACATGCAGCACTCCTGCTCACTGCTGTGTGACTCTGGGCAAGTTGCTTAACCTCTCTGAGTATGCGTTTTCCATCTGCAAGATGGGGATAATGGTGCTTTTTTTTTTTTCAGAGGTGAGAAAAACGTTTAAAAACATGTTTTTCCAATATACCCATGCGTGTATATATGCATGTATATATGCATACACACAAGTACCCGGTGCTTGAAGAAATATGTAATCAATATTAATCTTGAAACATAGGGTTGGCTGAGAAACTCAGAAAGTCTCTCAGAATGAGCTGGAACAGCCTCCAGCAATGCCAAGAGACTTGTGAAGGGCCAGTTTTACAGATGTGCCGTGGGTTCCAGCAAGACTTACAAGCTCTTCACATGCAGGAAGAGCTTGCTGCGTGCCAGGCACAGGGCTTAGCACCAACACAGCACCAACACAGGACTTAGCTGAGCAAGCCTCCGGGCTCCCAAACGAAGATGACCTTAAGGAGAGGGGCCTGGCCGGCTGTGCTCTCGGTTTGCATGCATCACTGCCAGAGAACTGCTTCATGGTTCTATGGGATATGTTTACTCCCCCAGCCCTTGGCAGGTTTATAAACCACTGCATCTGAGAGTTTCCACGTGTCAAGCACGCGGGATCTGTTTTGCTCCAATTCACTTGGGTCTGCAACGGAGAAGCTCTGACCTTCCCAAAGTTCACTTGGGTTTGTGAGGATGGCTCAGGAAGCTCAGGGCCAAGATGAATTTGGACAGCGCTTCCCACAAGAGCAACCTGAGGAGGCTGCCTCTGACCTGGAGGCCACTGCTTCAGGCTCCTTAGACTCAAAGGGTGTGTTGCATCTGTGCTCCCTGCAGCATGCAGGCCAGCGGCCTGCAGGGGGCAAGCACT